CCAGCCTAGAAACTAGGTATTGTATATGTCTACACAGCTACTAGAAACAAAATAAACATTTCCATGGCACTGAAATCCATATGAAAGCAGAACTGGAGACACTGGAGATGGAAGAGACTTAATAGGTCAGCTTGCCCATCCCCCAGCCCTGTTGTCCCTCAAAATCTGTGGGCCTGGTTCCCACACACCTTCTGCCACACAGAAGTTGGCACAAGCACTAACATCCATCAGGGTCATTCTGCTAGGAAACAAGAGATACCAGGTCATACTGGTGGTAAACCAGCTTAGGGTTATCTGTCAGTAAGGGCTAAAGATCTTGCACAGACTTCATAGATCCAAACAGCAGCTTTTTCACAGGACATTCATGGCTATGAATAATACTTGGTCTTCTTTGTATTTTAGGGAGTCATTGAGATGCATGAGAAAATATCAGCATAAAAATACAGTCCAATATACAATCATGCCATTTCAAACACCATTGGATTATTATTACTGATTAGGGGGAAAAAATCCAACAGCTGTCTGAGGAATTCCCTTCAATGTCTGGATTATTGATTTAATACCTACATATTGTCTAGATCCTACCATTCCACTAATGTTTGAAAATGCTGTACATGAGTTTACAATATTTTTGTCCTGTGATTGCACAATAATAATGTATTTTAGCCTGATTTTTAGGTGAATTTGTTAGCTGTTATACATGCCACACAACAGGAGTATGAAATAGCAATTTTAAAGTAAAAACCAAGATGAGTATTTAAAGCTAAAAAAAAAAAAATAAAATCCAGGTTTTCAGACAGCTGCTAAGTATTAAATTCCACTTACAATTCATTCCAAAATTCTGCTCTTCCCTCTCTCCCCTCCAGAAAATTGGAACTAGAAAAAGGAAGGAGAAATTTAAGGTAGAGAAACTATTCAAGTGTGAAGAGGCTGTAATGGTTACAGTTGCTCAGGTTACAGTGATATGCTTTGGATTTAAGTTTTGACATCCTCTCTAGCACACTTAGAATAAATAAGTAAACAAACAACTGCCTGGGAGCTTTAAATTATTTGCCTTCATCTGCTAGTGCTGCCTGTCTCTGGTTTACTTCCTCCTGGCTGGGCTGAGCCTGCCCAGGCTGTGGGGTTTGTTCTGTGCATGCCCTGCTCCCCGGGGCAACACACACCTCCTGCAAGGGTGCAGGGCACTGCTGCAGAGCCCTGTGCCTACAAACAGGGGTGCCGACCGAGCCAAGTACCTGTGTTCGGGCCTAGGAGTGTAAACGTGGGGCGGGAAGCGCTCCCTCCGTGACCGCTTGACCCGGAGCAGGGTAATCTGAGCAGCACAGATGGTCCTGGGCAAACAACCTCGCTGACAAGGAAGAATGAAACACTTTGTGTCACGTTGCCTCAGTGAAGCATCCCTCTTTCCTAGGATGGAGGTATGGCAGGCAGCAACAAGTCCTGTAAAAGATTTTTTCTTCCAGAGGTGGAATCAACAGAGGAAATACAGATAAATGAGAGAGGCCTGTAGTAACAGAATTTTAATTGACTTTAGCTCTACCACACACTGAAGACAATATATGGCTCTTAACATGATTCTTGGTCTAAAAATGGTAAGCATTTGTGCATCAATATGATGCTTTTTATTTGTTTACAGTGGGCCTTACAAAAAAACCAAAAAGAACAAAACCTTGAGCCAGCATATCAGCTGTTGTCTCTTTGGTCTGATACATTTGCAATGATTTTTATGGAAGAAAACAATGTGCCAAACCACTGCTGTTCCCCTGTTCCTGACAAGTAATGTGATATACAGTGAAATCCTGTCCTGTCCTACAGTGTTGGCTGTTGACAGTATTTGAGGTCTCTACTAAATATCACAACTTTTATGAGAAGAGCAGAAAATTCTGTATAATGAATCTTTAAGCCAATAAGAAGTTATTATGAACAAGAAATGTGTCTAAAAGTGTAGAGATAATAGCTTCATACTAAAATCTCATGCTTTCATATTTTTATTGGGGGAGGAAACAGAGATCACACAAAAATTTGTGCCTATAGAAGGAAGAGGGCCATAGGAAACAACTAAATAACATATGTGCTTTGGTCTAATCAAAGTTAAACACTGTATATTGACTCTGAGCAATCTTCTGCAGTAACTACTGTAACAGCTCAGCAGCCACACACATCCCTGTGTCCCAACCACTCCTGCCAGCTGTACTGATCAAGCTCTTCTGTTCTGTGATCTACCTCCTCCTTTGCTGGAAGAGAAACAAAGGCAACACAGTGAACAACATTTTGAGTCTAACATTTCTGTTAGGGTAATTAAATTCTGGGATCTTATGATCCTCAGAAAACAAAAACTGAAACACTTGAAAAATACTGCTCTAATCACAGAGGTCCAAAGCAATAGGTCCCAATACAGCTCATTATGGTCATAAACACTGATCTGGTTAAAACCTGCACCTAACCTACTGTACACCTCAAAGCAACAAAAACATTTTCATTTTACAGTCATGATGTTTGAGTCAATTTTAAAAAATATTTGAATGGAAAATGGAAATCTGATAACAAATATTATTGGCTAAATCTTATACCATACCAATGCTATGCTTTCAAATGCTTTTCTTTTTTTCCAGATAAATACTGATATACATTTTCCTGTCTCCTTATGTATCTTGCCATTGGTTGTTGTCTCTAATATAAGCCTATTCTCTACCCAGTTACAAACTATGTATTAGAGAATTAACCACATCAGGTCACATCAGGTCAACTTTAAAGTGATAAAACCTTAATGGAGTAAGGGATCAAGAAAGTAACAAAATCTCTTATTTCTGTTTTCAGCATCTCTGGAGAAATACTTTAACGTTCACTAAGAAATACTTATCCAAACATACTAATCTTTTCATATTATTTCAAATATAGGTACTTGAATTCTAAATCCAGTTGATATAATATTTCAATAAAATAAATAATATTAAATACACCATGTTGTGGATCTTAGAAATATTGTGCAAATCTGCAATCCTAATATATACATGTTATTATTCCCAGAAGGCTCTAAAGAAAAAGAACCTTGTGTTCCTGTGTTTGTTAACATATTTAATCATTTATGATATAATAAATTACCCCTCTTTTGTTTATTAAGATTTAGATAAAAGCTGGCTAGAAAACCAGTGGCTCTAATCTCTCTAATCTCAACCAGTGATTTTGTTGCCTCAGTATCTAACTAGCAGAGATCCTCTAGCTAATACTTTTGGCATTTTTGAGGTGTTGTGCTCTTATAGCTGTATTGTACAAGAACTTTAAAAACAGTAAAATCATTACTAAGATCATATTTTAGTTCTGCAAAAAGAAATAGTATTTTTGGGGAAAAAAAGTTGCTGTTTGGAAAGAGCATCTTTCTCCTCATAGCTTTCATCCTGCCAACCTTGTTTCCCTTCTCTAGTTCCTCTGCTTCCCTTAAAAACCCCCAGAACCTCACTAGAGGGGTTTTTAAACCCCTGGCTTTGGTTATGATGTGTTAACATCTCACAGAATCTACAGCATAATCTATCTTTTCCCCTGTGGAGGTTATATTTCTACTACTGACCTCGCCTTTCTTGTTTCTCTAATCCAAAGGCATAACTGATGGAGTTAAATTCTGATTTTTTTTTTTTTTGAAAGGCCACCATTAACCTCTTTTTTTGTTAGCAAAAATCCAAAAGTTATCAAAACGGATGGAATTCTTGATAGACAATTTTTTTCAACATCTCCATAATGTGTCTCACAGGCTCAGTCTCTTCCTCCTTTGTGTCAATACCTTTGTATCAACGTTAGTGTTAAGAACTTCAGTTTTCTATATTGATATTTCTATTTTTTGTCTCCCACTAATCACATTTGTCCTGTCTTTCATTTCACCTCCATTTATCCCATTATGCTGCCTGTCTCGGTGCTCAAAATCTCCAAGCATTTCTTCTGTTTTGAAACTAATACTTCAGCAGAAATCCTTCAGCTAGGCACAGACCTTCTACTTCCAGCCAGCTAAGCCCTTCTGATTTCCCTTGTGCAAATCTCTTAATTAAAATAATATAGAGCCCACGTAACTCTATAGAACTATGTTATCCTTGCTCTATAGATACCTGGTAACCCATGTGGGTGCAGGACAGTGGGGCTGTTGTCACACAGAGGGTCACCATCCATTAGAAACCTGGGAAAGGAGATTGGAGTGAATGAGCAGGTGAGTGGGTAAGTAATCTACAATCTTCTTGTGGTGCCAAGCAACAGGACAAGAGGCAATGGGCAAAAACTGATGCCCAGGAAATTCCACCTGAGCATGAGGAAGAACTTCTTTACTGTGCAGGTGACTGAGCACTGGCACAGTTTGCCCAGAGAGGGCGTGGGGTCTCCCTCAGTGGAGATATTCCAGAACAATCTGGATGCAATCCTGTGCCATGTGCTCTGCGATGACCCTGCCTGGGCAGGGAGGTCGGACCAGATGGTCCCACTGTGGTCCCTTCCAACCTGACCCATCCTGTGACTCTCAGACTCCATGAGGGACGAGAGGGGAAAACGGGCTCGTGGGTGACTGGAAGGAGAAATGTGGCAAAATCAGACTTCGTGGGGGCGAGGGACAAAAATAATGGAGGGATTCAAACACGTGGTGGAGAACAAGGCTAAAACCAGGTGACAATCACAGAGATCTGGGAATGGGAAATGCAGAGGGACAACAGCACCGAAGGGCTGCACACGGGGTGGCACAGCTGCTGTTAGGCTGAAACGAAGGGACGGTGGCAGGACAACACCTATCAAGGCCAAGAGGCTCCAACAGAAGGGCTGAAACAAATAATTAAGACAACGACAAACGAAATGCCACCTCAGCCCTTACCACTCGCCCCGAACCCGTGGCAGCCCCGCGCCACGCCGGGAGCCAGCCGGTCCCTGCTCAGGGTCCCGTTCCCGCGGCTGTCGCTGGGGCCCTGACACGGAGGGACGGAGGGTGGGACGGAGGGCGGGCGGCCGCCGGTTGCCCTGGCGAAGGCGACGCCACAGCGGCCTCCGCGCGGACAAAATGTCGGCGGGCGGCAGCGGCGGGGCCCGGCCGGCCGGGGACACGCCCGGGGTAAGGCGGCGGCGGCGGCTCGGGCTCGGGGCAGCGCGGCCGTGCCGAGCCCGCCCCGCTCACTAACGCGTCCCCCCCGCAGGTGCGGAGAGCGGCCCCCCCGCCGCCCGCGGGGCCCGGCGCGCTGAGCGGAGCCTGGCTGGCCAAGGAGGAGCAGTACAAGTAAGGAGGCGGCCCCCCTCGGGCCCGGCGAACAGTCGGTCCCCTGGGCCCGGGTCCCGCGGGTCGGACCCCGCAGGGGGCTGAGGGCACCGCCCGGGGCCGCGGGATACTGCTGCCTCAGGCGGGCTCTAGGCCTGGCCATGAGGGCTCTCTGCACCTCCAACACTGCCTTTGCCTCTAAATTATGACTATATAAGAGCTTAAGCCAGTTAAAAACAGCTTAAAAGCTGTAAAGCTTTTAAATGGAAGCCCTCGCTCTGTTACCTGTCGGCGCTCGGCCCCTGTGAGTGTTGAGGGGGCACAGAGAGCCATGTCTGAAACTGTACCGTGAACCATGCAAGGGCACCAGCTCACTGCAACCTGTGCAGATACATAGAAACGCATCTTTAATTAGGTGGTTAAGCAATGTAGTTATACATCACTGCTTCCCCAACCTCTGCTGCTGGGTATGCTGAAGGTAAGGACTCTGGTGAACACACAAAACGCCAAGGAAATAAAGACATAAAATGTGTATTAAGCAGTGACACGTCCAAAACCAGGGACACCCTTCACATCTCAGAATTACAGCCTAAACCTTGCTGCTTGATGGGTATAGGTGTTTTATCCCTGTCAATTGCCAGAAACCCGGGAAATTGTTGAAACATAACTTTCTTAAAACCCTGAAGTATATTTCAGTGTTCCTTTATAGGAATTGTTAAAATATCACCTAGTGTAGGCAGAAATACTGTCATGCTTACATTTATTTCTCTTAAACCTTTCAAAAACTCAGTGACAAGCATTCTTACTCTTTCAGGCGACTGAATGCAGAATTAGAAGCCAAAACAGAAAAACTGGTGCGTCAGGCTGAAGAGCTGATGGTGAGTATGTTATACAGACTGCTACGTGATTTAGCCTTGATTCACATGCACACAGGGTCAAGTTTAAAAAGAAATTATTTAGACCATGGGTACCAAAACTATTTTGCTTTCAAATGCAACGTAAGCTTTAATTTATTTTTTTTCAAAGTTGTAAACTTCTACTAAAAACACATGCAAAACTAGTTTTAATATCATTTCATCAGGTAGGTATTCACACAGATGCATAGAGCATTTCTGCAGATATAGACATAAAACCACATAAAAAACTTTAAGAAAAGGATCTGTAGGTGGTCTTCTGTATTAAATGCTAAATAAAATTTAGTATTTGAAAACCAGATTGTGTTGCAATAACCTCCTAGTGAAATAGGATACACATTGTTCAATCTGAAAGAAATACAAAGAATGAGCAACATAAATAGAAAACATGAATTTAGTAAGAAGGAAACTTTCTTAAAACAGAAAAAGCTCCTGTTTATTGTCAGTATTATCTTTTAAGATTGGTGTGGCTGTGTGCCAGGTAAGAGTCAAGATTTATACAAAACTGGGACAAAGGAATAAAAAGGGAATGGGGCAGGTATGGTTTATACCCAAACCAGTCTGGAGAAGGTGTTCTGCATATTACATATATTCACTGTAAATGCACTCATTCAAATAAATAAGGCTTAAAAAGCAAGTTATTAATTCTTCTGGAAATCTATACTTGTATGCACTTTTCCTACTGTTGAAACTTCATTTTTATGGCCTGTGAACATGCTCTTCTTTTGAGCAGTGACAAGCTGAGGGTAGCTGCTTGGCATTTGAACAGAAGCAGTTGAAACAGCCAAAATAGCATCTAGTCTCTTTCCTTTAGAAAACAGCAACAACAAAACCACTTTTTTTTCCCCTTCTCTAAATACAGCAGAAAATGAAATATTCTTAGGACACTTAATATACCACATGGCAGTACCAGATTGCAGAGATATACATTTAACAACAAAATAGCAACAACATATTCATTTTTAGCCATCTTTTCCTGTGTTTGGAAAGTTCTTTTCAACAGTAGAGTATAGTTTACATTCTTTTCCATAGTAGGCTGTAGTTATTGTGATTTACAAATGGGTAATTTGTCTTTAATGGATTATATTCCCCCCAAATCGACTACTTTTTTTTCTTTTTTTAATAAAGAAAGGCCAACAGAAGATACTATCTCGACCAGTTTCAGTACAGTCTAAGTCACCTGAAGATGACAGACAGAGGTACGTGCTTTACAACTGCTGCATATAATTGGTGGGGAACCCCACGCTGCTCCTGCACACCCTGACTTGTGCCCTAGTCATGCTCCTGTTTTATCTGTCTTTATGGCATACTGGATTGGTAGAGTCTAAATTTTTTCCTATCCTTTGAAAAAAAAATGATACCAAGCAAGTGTTGTTCCTTGTTATTTCAAGGAAGCCTAAATTTTGCTGGAATGTTCTTTCTAGGGTACTAAGTTTGCTGACCTCTGTAAAGAAGCAAGGTAGGGTAAACAGGTTTCTTTGTGGTACCAAACAGCAGACACTCAGCAGTGGATGGTTTTTAACAGTTTGGCTGAGAAAGCAAAGAAACAGATACTGGTTCGCATTTAACTTGGCCCAAATGTTCCTGGGACAGGAAGTGCTTGATAAAAACAAACACAAAACCTTAAGACAGGCAAACATTGAGCTGCCACCCTCTGGAACGTGGGTACCATTGCACTGCTGGGGCCCACGTGCCTTTGGCCTGGAGGAGCACACATGGAGCTGTGGGGTTTGGCTGGGTGTTCAGACCCCTTGGATCAGGAGTGGGAACATGGCTTGTGTTCACTTAATTGTTCAAGAGCATTACTACTTATTTAGTTCTTGAAGGGGTTGTGTACTGATAGTGTGGGAAGTGGGTGAATTTAGGATAGTCTGATACACAGTTTATCAAGGATCCGATCAGTAGGTTCCTAAATTTATGATGCCACTAATCTGAAAAAGAAAGATACAGGGACAGACTACAAGATGCCTCAACTGTTAAGCTGCAATTGGGAAACTTTTGAAATAGTGTATATGAAAGTCTGAGAGAGATGATCCAATAGTTATTTTTGTGCAGGATAAAAGCAGTGACATCATTAAGGAGTTTTTATGAAAGCAAAAGGGGTTTTCAGTACACAAAAAGGTGTGACAGCAAGTCACAGCTTCTGTGATAGAAGCCTGTCTACCAGAAAAAGTTAACTGCAGTTAAAATTATTCCTGAGCTATTTTAAAGCCATATCTGACAGCTGGGGGATCAGGGGGCAAGAAACTTAATGTGTTATCAGTATAATCATGCTTTGCAAACAAATTCTGGATCTCACTTTAGGTTTATGTTCTGTTAGATGGATTTTGAACATTAGACAGAAGATTTTTAAAAACTTCAAACTGGAGTTAAGTTTTAGGGCTGTTTTATGAAGTAATGTGATCAGAGGATCCAGCTCCACAAAGGGAGTTTAAATAGCTTTGATGATGTGCCTTAGAAATAAATGAGGGAATGTTGGAAGAATTAAAAAAAATACAATTAGCCTGTTAGAGTAGCATCTGATCTAACAATTACCTACATAAATTAAAACACCTTAAAGCAACCACAGCCTGTGTTCTGGTAAACACTTATGTGAATGTGAGGGAAGATCTGAAATCCCATGCTGTATTGAAAAAAAATTAGAAATGTGTGCTAGGAATTAGGCACACTGATTATCCATGAGTGAACATTGAGGCCATTCAATTAGATTAGTTCCGAGTACTTAATATTTAATTAAAAATTCTTTTATTTCTAAATTGTGCAAGCACATAGGTCATAAATCTAAAGGAAGCACTTGAGATACATTTTTTAAATACCTCTTTGAAATTTCTATTGATTCCTTATAAGCAGAATGAACACTAAAGCAACTGGAAAGAAAGGGAGGAATTGGAGCAAAGAAAGAGGTAGTATCATGGGGGGGGAAAAAAAGAAAAGTTAAAAGGAAAAACAAATACGTAGGAAAAAACCCAACAAATATTTAAGTCACTCTCCGAGTCAGTGTGTATTTTAAAATAAGTTGTTCCGGAGTTCTTGCAGCATATTTTTCTCAGGGAAACTTGAATTACTTAGCAACAAAGCAGCTCCAGTGACACCGCATTGAAATCAGCTTTTGTTTACACTTTCCCTCTCCAGACATTGCCAGGCTGGAGGCGCTGGGAAGGGCCCGCGCATGGGCAGGCACGGCCTGGGCTGGGCTGGGATTAGCAGCACAAAGGGTTTGCTCATGCACACAGCGCCTGTTTACACGCAGCGACGGAATTGTTCAACGCCAGCTTCTGTTTCAGGGCTGCCACCGTGCTCTGCCCGCTCAGTTGTGCACCTTTTCAGGATTTACACACTGATTTCACTTATCATACCACCACAGAACCCTATTACAGCTTCTGAAAATGGATTGTCAGGTGTGGGGAAGAGGAAAGAAACCCTGGGAGAATTTGAGAGATACCATGAGGTCGAGTTTTTTGTTTTGCTTTGTTTGTAGGGTTTTGTGATTTTGATTTTTTCTCTTTTTAAAAGAAGGCCATAAGACAACAGATACAGTAGGAACAATTTAGCCTATTGATGGAAAGAACATCATTGTTTTCCTGAGTATAAAGAGTGTTGTATTTTCCTATTTTTGAGAATAACACATAACTGCTATTTCTGTGGCAGCAAATCCTCACCTTCTGCATGCTCCTAGAGCGAGCCAATAGGAAGGAAGCATGAGGAAAATAGGGTAAATAGACAAAAACTAATCATCCTATTCTTGAAGTCTGTTGCCAACCGCACACAGATGATTTCTCCAGGTTTTTTTTCCTTTTTTGATTAATAAAATACAGAGCTTTGTGCAGATAATTCTTGTTGATGAATGTCTGTGAAATTTTTAAAGGCAAGATCTAAACATTTGTTCAAATCAGCCTGGCAAAAAAATTAGGTGACTTGATGAGCCAGAAATTTAAATTTTATTCTAAATCTTTTATAAGCCAGCATTTTAATTGAAGTAAAAAAATTATAAAGGGTAGTAAAAAAGTAGCCTTTTAGTGCAATAATACACATTCATATAGCTCATTTTGTAAGCAAAAACATTATATATATATATATATGACAAGAAACTTAACCTGAATATTACACAGCATGCTAAAACTTCTGGCTTGTTTTCAACAGACTTGAAGAATAATCATTTAACCTGAAATTCAGTTGTACTAAGAAGCACAGTTTTCAGCCAAATAAGCAGATAAGAAAGCTGCTTTTTTAATTCCTGGGGGTTTTTTTCCCCCCATCTGTAGAACAGATACAATACTTGTAATACTTATTTCAGAGAAAATTCTGTGAGGCTTAATTTATATATTGCTCCACCTCATTCTCATTTGATAGTCCCTGTCAATGGACTTGACAACAGGCAGTCTGAGCCTACTGGGATAGGTGAGCTATCTCCTCTTGGGATGTAGAAGACACTGGTTTGTATCTTCATTTTCTGTGTGTGAACTCCGGGATTTGTCTGTCTGGTGTGTGTTGCCCAGGGAGCTGGTGGTGAGCTTTGGGAATGGATTGTCAGTCTCCCCTGTTGAGGCTGATAACTCTGCACACTGGCTGAGCACTCCCTGGTGCAGGGAATCATGGATCTAAGAAGCCAGTAGCCTGCATTCCAAGAGAGAAGATCAAGTGGCTGGTAGATAAGTAAACTGCTGCATTCTATATCATAGACTCACCAGGTGATTTAAGTGGCAAATGAGGTAGAATGGAAAGACAGCATCAGACTGAATTTATGCTTGAACTTAGGATATGTTCCCACCTTAGCTATATTGTTTATTCTGGACATGTAAAATGTTATTCTCCTTATTCTGACAGAGAGGTTGAATTTTAATTGTGAAGTGTTTATTATATATGTTCGCTGAATTTTTTTTTATTATTTTTTTCTGCAGAGATCCACTCTTCCACTCCAGTCCTGAAGCTTCATCTCCTACACACTCACATGCCAAGGTATCAAAGCCAAAACTATCCTGGTTAAATTTTATTCTAGTATAATTTCCACGTACAACTTTTGGTTTTGTGGCTGTGCTTCACTGGGGAATTCCATGGGTGGGAAACCAAAAGGAAGTGGTGCCCAAAGCAGTGCTCCAGGGACAGTGTTACCAGGGTTTCTCAGTGCCACTGGTGGTTAAGTGGACTTACATCATGTTTGATTTTTGTACTCTAAGTTTCCTCTTCTATAAAGTCTTGATAGAAGTGTTCAGTGTTTAGAACATCAAATTAAGAATTCCAAGTGCAGAATATTAGAACATAATTATTTTCCTACTTTCTTCCCTTCCCTCCCTCAGCTGTATAATAGTAAAGGCAGTATTAGTGTCTTCTACATGTCATAGGAAACAATGGAAAAATGAGATTGAGATTAGAAACAAACTCAATAGTCTCTAATTACAACTATATTGAATCTTTTAGAAGGTGAGCTAAAGCTTCCAAAACACCATCTGCAGTTATTTATGAATGCAGTAGAAACCCCTCTAATTTTTGAAGGATATTTGGGTGAAAGTAACAGAAATATTGTTAGAACTTCCTTCTACAGGGAATTTATAAGATGAAAATAGTGCATAAAATAGCATATTTTTTAAGGTATGATAAGCATTTTTCAAATAAATGCATTCTGATGACAGTGCAATAATTAATACCTTGATAACAGCTCAGAGCCTTGCCTGTGCATAGATTTTTTCTGAGTATGTGTGCAAAAACTCCCACAAGCCAATGACTACTGCATATATTACAATTAGGGCATACAGACATAAAAGTTGCAAGATAAAGATGAATGCAAATAAAACTGAAAAGTTGTTCTTTTGGAAGTCTGAAAAGCACCCTTTGAAAAATATTCTTGATTCTGGATATATGAAAAAGAAAGAAAAAGAAACCACCAAAAAAAATCCACACTAGAAAAAATAATTCCTATCAAATTAAAAAAATAAAGCACTCCTTTCTGAAAAATTTGTAGGTAGCAAGCAAGAAGAAATGTGTTGCTGCACCCACAGATCAGAACAGACAGTACTCTGGAAGTAAGGGAAAAAGAACAACTTCAAGGTATATCAGACATCTCTTTTGGTTTTCTAAAATCCTTTCATTGCTATTTTTGTCTATCAGGTTATTTTATTCGTGTATGCTTCTATATTTATATAAATAAATGTATCAAACTTTTGGTCCTCCTCAGTCAGCTCCACCACGTGGCTGTCTCTGTTTACTTGCACCAGAAATTATCAGTAAACATATGTGATTAATATTACAACAGTGAAACTGCTGCTTTCTACTTCATCACCTCTCAAGGCTGACAGCTCAAGTCTCTAAACTCCTTTGGTGAAAGGAGGCCCAGTGAGCTGACAAGGGAGAAATACAGAAATGCAGCACCTGAGGCAGCCTGAGAGAGCACACTGAGGTCTGCAGGCTGGTGTGGGAAACATGAGGCCCTCAGGGGTCTCCTCTGCTCTGGTTAATCTTGGGATCTCAGGACAGGAGAGGGTCAGTAACATACCACAGCTTTCAGGGGCTTTAGGCTGAGAAGCTTCAGCTCTGCAGATTGCAAATTCAAGGTTGTAAACCCAAGAAATAGTTGAGAGAGAAGAGTCAAGAAATGCATGAGATCCTTGGGAGCAAATGTGAACTGCCACAAGATATGGCACAATACCAGAACAGGGTGAAGATTGACTGCAAGGTGGCAGAACATGGACCTGACAGAGGCCAAGGCTGTCCTTCAGGACTTGGAAGTCAGTGTAGACCCTCGGGACCTCCCTTGGGCAGGTCAAGGTAGGGCTGTCATGCTGGTACTTCATGAGATTTGGAGTGGAACTGTGCAGATACAGACCCTGTGTGATGAACCCAGAGCTGTGGGAGAAAGTTAGGAGGTACAAGGAGTTTGGAGGCTTCACTGGGATGAGGATATATTAGAATAATAACTTAAGAGCTTCAGATCCTGGGAGAACTAATGTCACCTTTGCAAAAAAGAAAGCTGAGGAGATACCCTGTGTAGGTGATGTGTTACCTTGTGTTTTGGTTTTATGAAAACTTTGATATGCAACTACTAGGATCAGTGATGTTCCCTAGGCCAGGCATCATGATGCAGAAATTGTAGCAAAGTAGGAGTAGAGCCACAGAGGACAGAATTCTACAAATTCTCTTGGCAGGGGAGAATAGCAGAAATGAAAACAGGATAGTATCTAAAGCCAATAGAACATTCCTCTGTTTCTTTCTTTTACTCTGATCTAGTTATGAATTTGTTGCATGAGAAGACCATGCCACAATCTTGTCAGTAGAAAACAGAAGTGGTTTCTTTGCCTTCTGCATTACAGTATGTAAAATCCTGTAATTTGTTTATGTGGAATATGGTAAAGGTGAGATTCACAAGAAGAGAGAAATTGCCATCAAAGCATCTTTCATATGAATGCAAGTAATGAAATTGCATTAGGTAAATAACTGTACACTCTTAAAAACAGCAAATACATTATATTTTTGTTAATTTTTTTTGTATTATAAATTTAAAATCTAGGGTTATCTTTTTTTTAGTTCAAAAATGAGAAACATGGAAGTGCAAAGTGCTGATGGTGTTGCAGTACTGGAAGATTGCATAGGTTTTTCTTTAACAAAAGCAATAAGCAAAGTTGAAGAAAAACTAAAGAAAGGAGTCTTACCAGATTGTCCAGATGATGATATTATTCCAAGTGTTGGAAACGAAATGGGAGCAGGTAAGTTTCCTTCCATGGTTAGTACTTTTAATCTTACTTTGTGACTGTTGGAAATGGGTTTTCCTGGGGAAAAAAAAAAAAAAAAAGGAGTTTCTGTAAAAATTACAGGGAAAATTCTAAAGCCCTTAAGTTAAAGGAAACTGGAAAGAAGGTTTTTCCTCTTTGCATAGTCCTAGAGGAAGATCAGATCACATATCAATGTGGAACTTTTGTTGTGGAAAAGTGAATTTGTATCTTCATTTCCACCTTTGTAGGGAGATGTTTGGATAGTTACATGTGTTGAAACGTGGGGAAACAGGAGTACATGATGCTAAGCTTGTATTTCCAGTAAGATGAGATTCAGGCCGTGCACAGACTCTGTCTTTAGAGGCCAAAGCCTTTCCTCAGACCAGTGCTGTGGATCTTAGAAAGTGGCATAAACAAGGTAATGTTTCAGCTACAGTGCCAGAATGAGAAGCCTCCAGATCCTTTCCCACTTGAAATGGTGTGGGTTTGTCTGTCCTAGAAACAGAACAGGAAAGGGGATTGCCAGAGAGGCTAAAGGAACAATGTGCATCTATCTTTTTGGCTCTGCTGTGGTAAAAGTGAGTTTGTGTGGTTCCTTACAATGCTAAAGCAAGGAAGAAGTCAGAGATTCACCACAGTACCACAAAGTGCCTGAGCCCTCTCCTTTTAACCTAATGGCTTGATGTCTACAACATTCCAACACAGGAATAGTTAGATTTCTAACCTCATGTAATTCTGTGCACATCTGCAGTTACCAAGTCTCCCTATACACACCCTCAGCTGTCTTTTTTTATAGTTCCTTCTCCTTGAACTAAAAAGAAATTGCTTTGGCTTGCACTGGAAGCTTACACCAAATCAATTCAAGGTAACTCAATAAGAGTTATTACTGGTGCCAAGTAATCAGGTCTCACTGACCAAGGCCATATATTTGAGTATTGAGAGTTGTTTCTGTAACTTTAATGATGAAATGAAAATACTCTGGATTGATTTTTTGCTTTTTACACGTGATATTGGATGTTCATCACACTCTGAATGCCTCCTTAATATACTAAATAAGCTGTTGCAGAGCATTCCAGCATTGTCAGACTCACAGAACAGTTATGGTGTTCACAAGGAACAGATATAGATATTAAGCAGTTCCTGTTACAGAGAGGGCTGATCCCTCAGTGGGAATCTCCTGTAAGAGATTCCTTAGGCCAACATGCCTTTGCTTGGCTACTTAGGCCAGTGAGGTGATAAGGTTCTAGAGCATTGTCCTTTCCCTGAGCTCCTTGCAGTACTCTTCCTGGGCTTGGGCTCTACATCTTTATTTCATGATTACAGGTTACCACAGTGCAGCCATTTTGCTGCCAACACAGTAGCTTACACCTTATTTTTCTCAGGGGCTTACACCTTATTTTTCTCAGGTTATAACTCAACTCTGCGGTAACAAGCAATGACAGAAGCACACAGACATACAGAAGGCTGAAGATGAAGCTCTATTTTTATCTAATATACCCCCACACATAGAAACAAAATACCTGAATGTATTGTTGCACTTCATGTTAATCTTCAGATTATCCCAGGAATTCAAAAGGTCCATTCTTTCTTGTAGGACATCACAGTCTCTCAAACATCCTTTCCTTGTTTTCCAATTCTCCCCTCACTTCCCAAGGCTGTTGGTTCCTTTATAACCTACGACCATCCTATAAAGGGATACTCCTCCCTCTTATCAGCTTCATCAGGTGACTAAAATTGACCAGTTAGGAAGCTAATTGTTTAATTATCTTTACCTCTTGTGAGAATTCAAGCCTATTTGGATCACAGACATTTCCCAAAACTGATCTGGTTCTAGTTGTGCACTTGAATTTTCACAGGTTTTACTACTAAGTGCTCTTAATGACACACAGCTGACTAAGACAGAAGTTGTCTGTGGACTAATAGCTGAGTAAAAGAGGAAACAAAATGGTAAAAAGCAGCAGTTTTGACAGGTAGTGGTATAGCCCTAGAGTGATCTGTCATGGAGCTTACATTGTTCACAACAGCTAAATGACAGCTGGTAAAGAAATTTATGTATGAAACAGTGATTTTAGAATAGTTAAAACTGGTGTTAAGTATTGCACAATAATCTCATGGTACTGAATGAGGTGATAGAGTGCAAGTTTATATTCTGTACTCAAGAGTGCAAAGGAACACTGTTAGAAAACACGACTCTCCAATTACACCTACTTCACAATAAATACACTTGAGGCATAACTCCAATTACACCTGCTATGGCTAATTATGACATTTCCAAAAGCGTAAACTTACTGCATGTTCACACTGGAAAAGGCAAATTAATTGTTACAAATCCTTCAGAAGATAACAAAACCAAAATACTGTACTGTTACCATGCTGCTCTTATATAATGGATGCTGCCCCATGGTGAGTATGGAACATAGTTCTGCACACCCCATCTCAAATCCTGGATGTAGAACCAGCAAAGATACAGCTAATTGTGTACAGAGGCAATTAGAAGTGTGGAACAGCTTGAACTTGAATCTTCAGTTTGAAAACAAAACAATTAAAGGCATTATGAAAGATCTGTAATGAAAACAGTAATGGTAAAGGGAAAGCTGTCTTTCTGTAATGCAAACACTAGTAAATGCCACATTAAACTGGGTTTAAAGCAAGCTATACAAAGTGTTTCTCTTTCCCATAATGCACAATTAAATTAGCCACAGGATATTGTGAATGCCAAAGTACAGCGTGTCTTATGAAGAAAATCAAACAACTCAGTAGTGTAGAAGTACCTGAGAGGGGATTAAATGCAAGGGCTTTGATATGGTGTCCATCTCGATAGCCACCAGTTACCAGAAGCTGGCAAGGATATAACAGGAGGAATAAAAATCAGTCTGTATCTTATTTTTTCATGGAGTTTTCCCTAAATCCTACTTATTATTGGCCTCTGCGGAGTTACAGCTTAAGCTGCATTTGACAGCTCTTAAGGGAAGGTGGGTGAAATGAAAAGAACTCCTGTTGCAGCAAATGAACACATGTGCCCATCCACTCTGCTCCAGATACTCCTCCTCCACTTTATTCTTTTCCCCTTATAACTACTGTGAATAATGGTTATTCCTGTGTTACTCCACTTGATCCTCAAACTGTTCCCATACTGCACGCCTGTGGAAGTCCAGGGAGAGTTCCTTGTGAATGATCTGGGGAACTGGAAGTGAAAGAACAAACTGTTCACACACAGCTTGTTTTGTCATAACAGTCCATTTCTAGCTGTCCAAGAGCAAGAAAGTACTTCATTTGGAAAAAACACCTGATTAAATGGATTTAATTTTAAATACTGTGCTTTAAGAAAGCATAGACTACTGTGTGGGAGGGGTATTTACCTATTAGAGGGCTTTGCAGTCGACATTGAATTCTTCTTGTGCTCAGTTTAAAATTACTTTGGCTGTAACTATACAAGTTGCAGCTACAGATGGATTGCAGTGCAGACATGCCCTCCAGTACAGTTTTCTTGACTTCAGACTCAAAAAATGCTGTCATGTACAGCATAGTATGATGCAAGTTTTCAATAAGTTTCAATTTTGAGAATTATGCAGCTTTTGCCATTTAAAGATGTCAAGTTCAGTCATCAAAAGAAAAAAATCTATACAAAGCTTTGCCTGAGAATGAGAAACCTGCAAAATCTTTTTAGAAATCTGAGTTTTCATTTGCCCTATTTCTCTTTAATAATTGTAAACAATGTCGAGTGTTTCTAAAAATAAGAACATGAAAGTGAGTTCTAACATCAGTCTTGCTTCTTTTCTGCATTGAATAATGAGTACTTGTGGATATTAAATGTAACTTTTTATGTACACAGAAGCTCAAATCAGATTTCTGAAGGCAAAGTTACGTGTTACACAGGAAGACCTGGCAAGTGTAGTGTTTGAATGCAAGAAGAAGGTAAGAGCTGGATTTTCTTATCTATAGAAATGGAGTAGGTTCCCCTTCAACAAATAATCACAAAACAGAATTCTCTCAACCTTTCCTTTTCAAGTATTAAGAGCTAAGGTTCTATTTTTTTAAATATACTAAAAGCTTAGTATCGAGGGTAGTCATTTCTGTATAAATGTGATCTTGGGCTAAAAGCTTGTGAAATACAGTTAATGAAAAAGAATTTGAGGCAGGAAAGAACCACTGGGAATGAAGACATGCTGCAGGAACACTGGTGCTGCAGAGTGCCCAAACCACCACTGCTGGAAGGGCAGTGTTACCAGAGCCTGAGAAAAAGGAGGAGGAAACAGTAGCAGTGAAATACAGATTTTGGTGTACAGAGAAGAGAAGTGGTGCCCAGAGGCAGGTGATGGGATGAGAGGGATGTTTAGGGCAGAGTGAGAAACAAAAAGCTTGAGGAATATAGTTGGGTGCTTTTGGTGTCATCAGTGGATAGAAGTGTGGAAACAGCTGATCTTGGATCCACTTTAAGTGGAATGTTGTAATCAAAACAGCAATTAGGCTTTCTCAGTTCTCAAGAGTACAGTTGATGCAGAGGACAATATTTGGAATTATGCATTTGGGCAGATCAGGCTGAACTTAAGGCATAGTGAAGCTACACTGGTATTTCACTGTTAGAGTTTTATGATCTGCACTGTCTGGCAATCTATTTTCAAGTGATGCTCAAACATCTCTTGAACTGTAAAACCTTAAATAGCTTGTATTTGTCTGCCAGAGGGATCCCCTCTGATTCATGCACTTGTAATCAAGCAAGGGTTTTGAACTAACTTTCAATTTTCCATAACTGGATTATTTAGGTGTGGGCTCTTGACTTCAGAATGCTTTTATCCACCTATTCCTCAGGCCCAGATGTGATGATGACATTCAGAACATATGGCAAAACACCTATATGTTTTCTCTCAAGCTTTAATTTAGAGTTAAGGAGCAGGATGATACTAAATGAGTCTTTTGAGATAAGTACATGAAGAAAATCTTTAGAAGTAATTAGATTTTGATATTTTAAATCTGTACTTTATTTCATTTTTACCAACACAGGTGCTTCTGCATTTCAATACTTTTCTGCTGTGATCAGAAGGAAGTTGTTACATTTGATTTTAAAGACATTTTCATTTTCAAATCAAATACAATTCTGTCAGTAGCTATTGAACTTCATAATTCCATGCCAAAACCACTACAGACTTCAGTTACTGTAGCAGATGACAGAAGACCACCTTGTAGTGTTCTTGTGCTGCTCCCATAGCACTCTGTTTGTAAATGTATCATTCTGGGCTCTAGTTTCTCTGATGTGAAAATAACTTTATTACATTCATAAGGGCACAAAAATTTCATTTAGGCAAAGCCTTGAGGTAGATTCTGGGTTTGGTTCCAATTCACAGTCCAATTGTTAAAAGGAAGGAGTAAACCTGTTTTAAATGTAAAGAAGTGGGAGTTTCTGAGGTGCAGGTGGTCACAGGAAGCTTAGATAAAGCACATGGATTTCCCAGGTGAGAAGCTTGTATTCCAAGGGGCTGAGGGAACAACAGGGAGAGACTTGTTTTCACAGACTCCATTTCTGTGTGTGTGCCCTGATTTCTTTTTCGTAAAGAAATGAAGGGCATAATGTGTCTCTGAAATAACCTGCATTAGTATTCACTTATAAAGTTTCAAAGGTTATAAAAGAAAAATGCCTTGAATTATAATGTTTAATGTGGGATGTAATTGCCAGTAGGTCATGAATCAAATACGGGATTCACTGGATGTTAAGAGAATCTTAAATTTGAATACTTGATGTATCCTGGATCATTAGCTTGCTTTTAAGTCAAAACCAGATAATCTCCTAAAACATAATGGATTGGTTTATCAGTAATTATATTCTCTTCTTTTTCCCGTAATTTTTCCTAATGTGTGCATTTAACTATTCTCATAAAAATGTCACAAAATATCTATGTCCCACTGTTATTCATATTATTCCATAACACTTTGATATTTCTCAAAACCTTTGAGCTATGAGAAATTAAATGTTTCACATACTGTTACAACACAGTTTCAAGTAAAAGACTGTAGAAAATTAAATGAAAGAAGTGGTACTGTTTTTGAAGTATTATGCTGGTAAAATAGTGTTTTGTTTTCTTAGTTGTTGCCATGTAATTTTTAAAAACTTATCTCTATATCTATAGTGTGTATATTTTTACTGCCTTTTATTTACAAGACATTATTACTGCATTATCCTCCTGCTTCCTTGCAATGATTTAGTTGTGGGGTTTTTTTTGCTGTTGACTGCCAAACAGGATGATCAAAATCAGAATTTAGAAACTCGGCTTAAAGATACTGAAGAGGAAAACACGAGACTGCAGCGAACAATCAGCGTGCAGCAGAGTCAGACTGAGAAGTACAAAATGTTGTCACAGGAAGCAAACAAAAAAAGTGAAGGGTTACAACAAGAAGTCATTGCACTAGAAAAGGTATTGCAGATATTACTCTCATTTATCTCACAAAAGGGAACAAACCCCACATCAAGTCACCCTTTGCACCCTAGTTTGATATGAATGATCCCAGCAGTGTTTGAATCTCTGTTAGTAGTTTTAGAAATCGTATTTTTAAATGGTCTAATCAATTTTTTTAAAGGAAGAAATAATATATTTTGCTAACTGCTTTTCTTCTGCTTCTACAATCACATATTCCTGTATTTTAAAATTAAATTCCTGTATAAAAGACCCACAAGAGACAAAACAACCTTTTTCAGAAACTGCTGTCAAAGTCACAAAGGAATCCTAAAAAATACAAGGAAGTTTTATTTTTCTGGTTTTAATTATGACTGTTAAAAAATTACTTCTGTAACAGGAGTTCTATTGTAAACTGTAGAACCTAGTGAACATTTTTTTAGAAAGCACCTGCAGCTTATATTAGTATGTCCTGCAGGTAGAGGAAGGGACGTGTCTTTGTTCTTGAAAATGGACTGTTGGCAAACCAGGCACTGCAGTGTGGCTGAGTCCCAGTTACGTGGCTGCTGCTGCACCCACACTGGCACAGTGGTGGCCGTGCCTGGGGCAGCAGATGGCTGCACACACAGCTTTGTTTGTTTGGAACTTAATCTTAAGGGCAGCATGTGTTTTTCCTTAATTACTCAGAGCTACAGAGGTTGACTTCAAAATCATGCAATACACAGAGTATTGTGTAGCACATGCAATGAGAATGTTTCACTTAAAAATCTGGGCAAAATGGAGCACAACTTAGCCTAACAAAGTCTCATTATGTTAAATCACACACTGCATTTGTGTAGGCTTGCTTGTGTCTTAATGCTTTGTAGTTCTGGCATTTTACAACTCAAATGGTCTTGGTGGGCTTTTTGTGCAGATACCTGGAAGTTTTAAGTTTCCTTAAATAAGTACCCTGATGGTGATTCTGTCAGGGAAAATATTCAATAGCAGTACTCACACTACTCATCAGCTCACAGTAAATAGGGCCAAGAGATTTACAGAGTCATTTAGTCCCTTCTCTTAAAGCATGACAGGACAGGTTATATCCACACCACCCTGGACTTAAGTTGGTTTGACCTGCACTTACAGCCTTCTTAAAACAAAAGTTTTAAATTGATGGCAATTTCCAGCATTTCCTTAGACAGTCAATGCTGGTTCTTGCACACAGTCACAGTTAGAAAGTACTTAGGAAATGTCTATTGGGATGAAAAGTTTATTCACTTCTGCTGTATCCAGAATGTGGTCACTTCCCTCACTTGTCTTTATTCTGGATTTACCATTCTCAGTTGCTCCAATTATTCCTCACAGGTTGTTTTCTAGAATTCATCAAGGTTCCCAACCAGATCATGAAAAATAGTGGTAGTCCTTTAAAATACTAAAGCAGGAAAAAAAGGCAAGTATATGTAATGAATGGTTCCCTGCTAATTCAGAAGTTACTTTACATATTTTTTCTGCTATAAGAAATTATTTAACTGCAAAAGCCATGCATGTAAAAATAATTTTGCAGTAACTGCTTAATTCTCCTGTGGACTTGGGAGTCTGAAAACTGTTCTAATTTTTAGGTATGAAGTATTACTCAACACTATATAATTAATGTAGTGTAGATTAATTCTAGACACGTTTAAAAGCAATTTCCTGTGAACACAGGCCTGAACTGGTGCTACTGTGCTGCTAAACTCTCAAGACTCATACTTTCAGTCCAGAGAAAGTTTTCTGTGTAGTTGAGATAGCACAAATGTAACCTCTGATTAGGGGGCTTTTATTGCTTTTGTTGTGATTTCTGTTCCAACACAGATGATAGGAGACTTTGGCTGTGACACAAGTTTCCCCAAACTTCCTTATCAACCATTTGTACAATTTCCTTAATCCCTCAGGTCCTTTTTTTGTATGTGCCTAGGCAAAGAGTCTCACCTGCTTTTCACAATTCACCTGAAACATGGTAACTACTTCGTTATTTTTACATTTAATTCTTTTGGCCTTTGGTCTCTGTGAACATTCTGCTGCAACATCCACCTCAGGCAGCAGCTGAATTTTGATGCTCCCAGAAACTTCCATCCTTGTCTTTCCAGCATTCCTCTCTTTTTTCCTATCTAATTGATCTAATAAATGCTATCACCTTTCCTGTCTTTTTTTCACCACCAGTCTACAGGAACATTCCTTCCTCTGTGTTCTCTCACTCATGAATTCAGTCTAAGCTATAATGTTAGATAATGGTCAGGGAGACACCAAAGCTGTACTCTTACTCCTTCTAAGGCTTTGTGCAGGGGGTTTATAATTTGCTTTAAGAAGGGCTTGATGTTAAGTAAAAGTTCCCTCTCCAATGTTTTTTGGGGAGGGCAGGTGCTGCAGAGCCTTCCTAAAGGCAGAGGTGCTGTGGATGCTGCTACTGGGAGGACAGAAGGCCACTGGGAGGGTTCCTCCTGGGTGAGCTCTGTGCCATCACAGCCCCTGCTGGCACTCAAGTGCCTCAGCCATGGCAGAGCAGTGGAGAAAATCCAGAAACTGAAATGGGATGCATTTTTCAAACATAGTCGTTTAACCCCACCTCTTAGAGAAACAGTATATGAGAAAATTAATCCTGCTTTTCCTTTAAGTATTGAAGAATTGGCAGAAACCTTGCTTAGTTACAAAATAAAACACTTATTTCAGGTATTTTTAGGATTAATACATTTAACAATATACCCTCACTGGATGACTTGCAAAAAAATCCTTGATAAGGTATTATGTGTGACAGTAAATGTCAAAAAGCCCTAAGAGAATTCTTAGAATTCTTTCATTAAATGATATGATTAGCTGATAAGTAATTTGCATTGCATGCAGACTATTTTTTTGGTCATTAAATGCTTGAAAGACTGTATTTCAAAGCTTTTCATATTAATGCAGAATAAAATACATAGCATGAAAGATTTAGTTGACTTTATTCACAGCTCCATCATCTTGATACAAGACAAAGAGGTCAATTAGTATGTATTTCTTGGATAAATGATGTGGAAGTCTTAAATAACCACCATAGAGCAGGTGTGGAATTGAGAAAATAGAACAATTACTGAAGCAGTCTGAGGTTAAAAGGTTAAAACAAGGCCCCTCTCTACCTTGATTTGGTTAAAAAAAGTCCTTCTGTGCCCATTACTAAATATTTGATACTTTAAAAAAAAAAGTCTATTTCTTTTTCTGCCAGAATTGCTCATTTCTCTTACTTTGGCTGTTCTCTGTATTCCCTGATCTTTAATCTGACTATTCTGTTCCTCAACCTGGTCTCTTTTTCTCATTTCCCCACTTACAGCACTATGAAACACTGTCAGCAGAGTCAAGAGGGAACTGTTTTGCTTGGTGCCATAAACACTCAAGGAACTCTTTTCTGCCAGATGACATAGTTACTGCCCTCAGCCATCTTCAGTGGGCTGCTTTAACTTCTTGGTGGTAATTGTATGTAGGAATCTCTGGGGAAAAAGAGGTAAAAGGAACAGGTGGGAAGAAGCATCTGGGAACACGAGCCACCGTTCCAAAATCTGCCACAGAGTGGACATGGCAACATTTTTTTCTCTTTCTGAGCATACAAGGTTTTTCAGTCAGTCCTGTGGTCTTACATGCTCAGCTCCATGATCAATCCAAGATAAGAAAGATCCTTTTTCAAGACTTCAAAGGAGAAGGGGATGTTTTAACAGTAGAATTGTCTTTGAGACAGATTCTATCTGCAGGCCAGAGAACTCCACAGACGCTTCAGCTTTCAAGGGTGAGCCTTGTTGTACGTGTGCTGTTGATACGAGATTCATTAAAACCCCCATTATTCACCATGTTTGTTTTTATCTTTGCTTCTTAATTAGGAACTGGAGAACCTAAAGCGGGTACAAAAGCAGGCCACAGCCAGTCAGAGTGCCACAGAGGTTCGACTGAACAGGGCCCTGGAGGAGGTGGAAAGGTATAAAGTGGAGCTGAACAAACTGAAGCAAAGCAACAAGGTACAGTGGCTTAGGAAAACAATTTCCTATCTGTGATCACTCAGTAAAGCTAGAGTGAGACTAAAAGCTTGATCAGCTTTGGAAGCATCATATGTCTTCCAGGCAGTCCCAAATTAACTTGGAGCGAGTCACCAAAGGCTTGGATAAGTTATCTTGGATGATGCTACTGCAAGAAACGTACAGAATAAAGTTAAAGCCTTTCTGATTTTCCTCATTTGCATGAACGTAAGATGTGTTTAGAAAGAGGGGGAAGTACACATACACACTAATACATACACAGGCAAACCAGGGCTGTTATCTTTGAGATTTTTTTTTTCAAGTTTTAATGTGGGAATATTTTGATTAGTCCCATTTCTTTTCAGAAATGTCACGGGTGGCTACTGTTCCTCACTTTCTTATGTAATGCCAGGTTTCATTGGCAAAGCACCACTTTCATAAATAATACATTTCTCCTTTTCTTCCCTTGGCAGGATGTAGCTAACCAAGAACTCAAAACAATTGAAGAATTAAAAACAGAAAACAAGAAACTGCAGAAACAAAAAGGAGAGCTAATTACAGGCTTTAAAAAGCAGTTAAAGTTAATTGATATTTTGAAGAGACAAAAGGTAAGAACCAGAGTACAGGTGCATTTCAGTAAACAACCTCTAGCTAAATGTGTCTGTTGTCAAGTCAGACACAAGTCATCCTGGAACTGGAGCCCCAGGACTGGGAAGTTTCAGTGCAAGAGAGCAGCAGCCTCACTTTTCCCAGAGCCTATTGGTAACATTTTGCATTCTAGCAAAGGCTGGTCTGCTTTTGAACTGACCCCATTCCTAACTAGGAATGCATCCTGTCATGGTTAAAGGTTATTACTGACTGAGGATATCTGTTTGTTCAAGAACAAACACTGTGCAGGTAGTAACAGCAACTCCCTTTGTGCTGTGTCAGTAGGACCCATTTAAGCAGGTGAGATTTTTTAGTTTTTCCCCACACACACATTATTTGTTGGATCAGCAGCTCCAACAGTGCCACCCCTCAGGAGTGAGCACTGCATTTTAGACCTGGATTATTCCAGGGTTCTCAAAGTGAACATTTTGCAAGAAACGTGAACATTTGTTTCTTCTCTCTATGAACATTTGTTTCTTCTTATTTAAATTCTGAGATGTTCTGGCCATGTACAGTTGTGTCCAGGTGCAGATGTCCTTGTGTGTCAGACAAAAAAAAAAAAGAAAAGAAAAAATTAAAAGACAGAGCACTTAACCTAGGTGTGTATTTACTCAACTGAAGAGGGGAGTTGAGCTCCATCCCTTGGTAATACCTGGAATATCCTGCATACTTTGAATCACACACAATGCAGTAACATTGGCTGCAAGGGTGTTCCCATCCACACTGCACTTGCAGCCTTACTCTGAAAGTCATTTGATTCTACATCCATTTCACATCTCCCTCCAATCCTCTCCCTCAGGGCATGGAAGGGTGGGCAGAGTCTTTAGCAGCTGAAGGTGAGACTGAAAAGAGGAGAGGTGGTAGAATAAGTGTGCCAGTTCATGCTGAATGACTGGTGATCCAGCTTCCATAGAAAGCTGCTACAGTGAGAAGTAGATTAATACTGCAGGTGGAATACAGCTCAAAGTGTATTTAACTATCATATCTGGTAAAGCTGTATTGGATGTTCCCAAAAGGAGGGGTGTTTTACTTGAAAAGAAAAACCTCTGACATTGCAGAGTGGGTAAATATATTTCTCAAAATATATTTTCAGCATAGACCAGTCAAATGAGCTTTGATGGTGCAAACTGAAAGAAATTGTGAGTTTACATGCAAGGAAATTAAAGTGAGAGGACTGTATACTAGGAGATGTTGCCCAAATCAAACAATTTTCCACTTACTAGTTCCATCAAACTTTTCACTTACAATTACTTGGGATGTGTGCAATCATTTGTATCAGTTTCCCTTCCAAGGCTGCATGAGACATGTAGAGCTGTGGGCTGCAGAGCTGTCTGGACAGGATCTAAACACCACAGAGTGGGTCACCTCCAAACCCTACTCTGCTGGAACTCATGTCATTAATTTTGCCATAAAGTCAGTGCACTTTTTGTGCTCTCAAACCAAAGCTGTAAGAAAGCTAAAGCAAACACTGTGTGGTGGCTTTTTGAGCAGAATCCCCTTTAAGAAGGGCCAGCCTTAGAGATAAGAAAATAGAACATTTTATTTACCCTTTGAGCACTGCAGTGATCACCAGACAATTTGTAAACACTTTCGAAGCTGTTGAGCCCCTAGAGGAAGAATAGTTCAGTATGAAATGGCAACTTGAGAGAACAAAATACACACACTTATCCCAAGAACTGGGAATTGCAATATGGAAATACACCTCTGAATCTGGAATACCTGCCCAACATAGGGCAAAGGAGGACAGGTAACTGGATTAAGAGGAAGTGAGGCTGCTCATGCATTTCCAGTGCAAGAGAATTTTCCTGGCAGTAACAGGATGCTGAGGATACCGGGATTCACCCTTCTAGCTCTACAAGTTTATTTTGAGAAGAAAAACTATACAGCATTCACTCAACATATGTTCTATATGTGGGCAGCTCATTGTCCCCTGGAATGTGAATTCACTGAAATGGTGTCACAGAGCAGCATTTCTGTTTGACTGGGAACCAAACCCAGAGTCTCACACAAACATCACAAAACTGCACCAAATATATTTTTAAGCAACTGCAAATGCTGTGTCAGAACTGCAGACAGGTGAGGAAGCCACTTAACTTGTCTTCCAAACAAATGTCATTTACTCAGAGCACAGGGATCCTGTTTGTTGTCCTTTCCAAACAGACTGTGACTGGAAGAACCTGAAGGAGATGGGGGCAGCCCCTGCCCCGGCAGCTTCTGGCAGGAGGCACCAGGGAAGGGCAGCTCAAGGTCCTGTGTGCTCAATATTCCCAGTCAGTGGAAGGGCTTCGAGTGTGCTTCACACAGGCCTTTTGTTGAAAGAATGAGGGAAACTTGATTTGGGCTATTTGTGTCATATTTGTGTGGCAGGCTCAGATGCACAAAGCAGAGAGAGCCTGAAGAATGACAGAGGGGGAGAAATTCCCCAAAGATACTAAGTATCAGGAGGAGGATGATTTGGTTTGGAATAACTTTAATGTTAAGCTGTGATCAATACACATATTGATCAGCTTGAGAGAACATGGACCAGTTTCCTTATGTGTTCTTCAGAGGTCACAAGTTGTTAGATTTTCAGGCATTTCCATGCCTCAGTAAACCCGAGATATTTTTAAAGCAATATAAGGAACTAGGAAAAGCTATTAGTCCTATTTTACTAGAGCTGAACTTAGTGTTTAGCATAAAATTTATCACATCCCTACACTACAAATTTTCGCAGAAAAATATGATTAGCAGCTTCAGCTGGAACAGGTGAACATCCATCAGACCACAGTACCAAAAAAAAAAAAAAATCAAATTATAGATTTGAAGCCCCTTTGAGCTATCCCAGGTATCCAAGATTTTGTATTGGTCACGCTCTTTTACCTCTGCTCCTAATTGTTTTTTGTTTTTTCTTAAGATGCACATTGAAGCTACCAAGATGCTTTCTTTTACTGAAGAGGAATTCATGAAAGCTCTTGAGTGGGGAAATTATTGATTCCATTAAAAAACAGCTTCTGTTTGAAAGACAACTCAGATGGTACATTATTTTGGGACTGTATATGAATCCTTGTTAATAGTCAATAACTGTATATCCCAGCAAATTGATTTTGTTGATTTTGCTTATGTTTAAATTGTTTAACTTTTGTAAGCCTGACAGCTTGGGTTGTAATGTTGTATGAAATACAAATTTCTACTGCAGTGTCAGGCCAAACTGTCCATTCTGTAACTAGCAGAGAAGCACAGACCGTGCAAGGAATAGTCCAACAAGTGAACTTTGTTAATCAGTTTGCTCTGTTTTAGCATTTAAAACAATACCTTATCTATGGTAATATTCAGTCCAAAGAAGGCAGGATTTAGTCTCAGAAAATTCCTTGTTGCAACAGAAATAAATTAACCAGTGATCCAGTTGAGAAGAAAATGTCACGTCCTTTTTAAAACACGTGGTTGGAAAATTGGCCTTGTCTGTTCTCTGTAACAGATCTCCCCTCAAAGCTGGTTGGTCTGGCATCTAATTTAAGCACCAACAGCTCTTTTATAGAAATGATCATAACTTGTTTTAGTCATTACATCTTCCCCCCTGGCTGGCATAACCACACATGAGACTTGCCCCTCACTGCCCAGACAGACTCCTTTAGTCAAGGTGAAAATATTAAACCTTTCCCTGGCCATCAGCTGCTGCTTGGGGATAAGTCAGGAGCTGTGACTATTCACAGGTGCTCTACAAGCACCAGTCATCACTGTAATCAAGAACTAGGTAAAAGATTAAGGGTAGATGAGCTGAGCATACCATGTGTACACTAATGAACAGGAGCAATACAGGCCTGTGCTGCTTCCATGAACCTCTGTGAGACCTCAGTGATTCCAATGGATTCCTCCCTCAGGGGAGGTGAATAGGAACATGGCACAAAAAGTCAGTTTATGCACTGAAAGGTACAAACAGTGGTTCTGACCTCAGAATGGAACAATGTCTCTGCCTTAGATCTACCAGCAAAGTATCTCAGATCTACCACTTTGAGGAGGATTAGGATCATAGTGTAGTGCCAGTACAGCCAAATCTTCCCATTCCCCCCAGAACTAGTGCATGAAGAGAATCCTGTAGTCCATATTGGAATACATGTGTGCATTTACACCAGCTTGGTTTCTGCTGTGCTGCTGGAGAAAACATTTCTAACATTGCTACACCACTGAGAACTGAGAACTCAGAACAGTTTATTGATGAAAAATGTGCAGCACACATCTATATAAAACTAACTGCTCATCAGCTGAGAACTTTGGTCTTAAAATGGAGACTTTTAATGGTGTTAAAAAGGAGTTCCTCACTGTTAACAGCAAATGGAAGTTTTCATTGGGAATCAGCTGACACCTAGTGGCAAAGCAGGAGCTGAGCTGGGGAAAGGTTCAGCTCTCTTCTGATAATTCATTACCTCTTCTCTGCTGGTAAGCCAACCTAAAATCTTCTCCAAGCATGTTAATGTCATTTTCATCTTTGAGTATCCCCTGCAGTAATGGGAAAGAAACACACATCAGAAGGGAAAACAAAGTAGAGAGATTTCTATGGATCTCTGCAATTTTCCATCAAGAGAATGGATAGTTTGTATCCGTAATACCGTTGTTACCTTTAAAACAAACCTGAAACTCAAGCCTGAAAGGCATCACAAAACTTGAACAGATAAGTTACAAAGTGGTGTAGCTGGTGCCAACCTAAAGCCACTCCTTTTGTTCTGCACGCACAAGCACTACCAGAAGACAACACTGAGCTGCATTCTCTTTCTCACAGAAGTGGTAACACCCAGCACAGCAGGTGCAGCTTTAGTAAAAATTAAGAAACTGCAGTGAAAAGAGGCCCTGGCTGGGCTGGGGCTCTGTCTTCCCCTTTAGCTGTGTTGAATTAGCTCCTACAAAGGAATAACTTGGTAAATAAACTGATACTGGACAACTTAATCAAAAACTATTTTTTTGGGGAAGGGAGCAGGGGAACCCAGAAATCTAAATTTACAATTAATTCTAAATTAATTTTACAGCTAAAAATATGCATGACCCACAGAGCATACCTTGCAGCATTTAGAAAAGAAAAAAAATACAAACTGCATTTATATTGGAAAGTTTCAAATTTGGTAGCACTTTGCTGTTGAACCATTTTGAGTGAAGTAACGTGATGTAGGAGCACCCGAGTCAGACACAGTAAACAAAGCAGGACATCATTCGTGGCACACGGGTGAGCCCTGAACACTGACACTGCCAAGGCTTCCTACAACAGCAAATTCAAACCAGAAAAGTATATTCAAAATGTTTCCAATATGAGTTATCCTTTAATCTACATTAAAGAACAACTCACTCCAGATGTTACAAATTCCTGCACCAATTATCATATTAATGTTTGAATAAAAATTATACTCTGTTCTATTTACATTTTCCAGAATTGCAGAATTTCTTTAACTAGTGGGATAATTCCCTCCCTACTCTAAATGTAGTTTTACATCCCTATGGCAGCTCTGTTCATTTGTTTACTGTCAGGAGATCTTTCCAATTATGAAGCATAATACAAAATAAATGGTAGTTTATTCCTATTGCAATAACTGCTTTTAACTTTTAAAAACACAGGGATGAACAGAGTGAGCTCTGAAATGCTTCTGTAAGCACTGCAGTTCCTTGCACTGCTGCAGAGGGGAGGCCTTGCCTCCATGCTAACTTGGAATACTTGGCAGACGAGCCAAAATTGCTCCCAAAACCCCAGCTGGGAAATGTGGTGGTAACAGGGTGTAAGATGTGGTGGACCCCTTTCTAGCTAGAAAAGCCCTGCTGTAGAACTCAGGTTTCACATTCCAAGCACTGGATGTGCTTTCAGCAAGTCCTGCACAAGGCATCAAAGCTGCCAGGGAGCCCAAAGAGCATTTCTGTAAAGAGCTTCCCAACTCAAAAAGCAAGAGGTGAGTGCAGGTGAGCTGACACAATAAGGACACCCACTGACTCCAGGAATTTACACAGTTCTGCAACTTCACCTTGAGCTACCCAAGAGAAAAGTGATTTCCAGGACGGACACAAAGCATTTCCAAGACACTTCACTTACTCGAGGCAGATAACCCAGCAGTTTCCAGGCGTGCTCCTTCAGGAGTTTCTGCCTCTCCTCTTCAACAATTGCACGGATGCTTTCTTGTCTTCTCTTCTCTAACTCTCTTTCTTCAACTTCACGCTCCTACAGTAAACAAGTTTTCTTAAGTTCAGTTTGTGAGCATTTGTTTAAACAATGTGTGTTTGGCAACTGGAAAACAATCTCAGACAAAAGAGAGGACTGAATGGCAGGACCTGGGGTGAGTCTGCTATCCAAGTGTTTGCCCTTTTGAAAGCAGATTAAGTCTCCAGTTCTGCCTTTTTGGCTCTCAGACAAGTTAGTCTGTTCCTGTCCTACTGCTCTAATCCCAGAAAAAGAGCAATAGGCATGAATTCTCATGCTGATGACTAGAAGTCACAATTCACATTACATGTGTGATTTATACTCCATAAACAAGGTCTGAAAACTGCAGTATAGGATTCCATGTTTTCAGCTTACACCTTTTCTTCCTCAGATCAGAATTCAAGAGACTTAATCTAAAAGCAAGGCTGGGACTTCCCCTCCTCACACAGTGCAGCTGACCAGGGACAGGGAACTGGCCAGCAGTTGTTCCACTGCTCCCATGGCTCCTGAGGAGGTATTTGCAGAGCATGTCAGGTACACAGCGGTCCAGGAGTGTTGCTGACCCCAACCTCTCAAGCTACAAAAAAAGTTGGCTCTAAAAACTTTTCCTTGTCATCAAACTGAAGCAAAGGCCTCCTTCCCCCCCCACATTTGTCTACAACTCCCCTGTCACCTTTCCCTAATGACAGCAGCCACGTCCCTCAGGACAGCACAAGTGTTCCCACACTGAAAAACACTGTGGCTCAAACCAAAGGCGTGTGTGAAACTCTTACTTTGTCTGCAATGAACTGTCTGCGACGGTCTTCCAGGATTTCTTCCACAGCCTTTTTGTGCTCCAGCTGTCTCATCCTGCGTTTCTGAGCGTTCAGCTCCTCGATCCGATCCTCCTCTGCCAGCCTGGCCAACATCTGCTGGCGGAAGGCTTCCTCCTCCTCCCGCAGAGCTCGCTGTGCTGCTGCCTTCATAGCAAACTGCTCTTCATAGGTTTGCCTTAACTCCAGGCGCTGCCTTATTCTCTTCTCAATTTCTGCCTGTAAAGGGAATTTAGTAAAATGCTGTGTTACTGAACGGACTTTGAAAAAATTACCATCATCAGCCAATCTACTGGATTTTTCTTGGAATGAATTTACTGTAGCTGTTAACTTCTAGCATAAGTAACTGGAGCAAACATTCCATATCTGACAGGGTTCTCCAGTATTAATCAGTTGGGCAAATGTCACAAGATTCTCAAAATTCAGTCCAAAACAAAAGGGGGTATTTTTTTTCCCCCTGTTAGCACGAAGTGACTCAACAAGACAACCCCTCTCTGAAAATAGCAGTGTTTGGTATCTCAACCTGTGCTACATTTTGTCACCCACAGCAAAGTAAGACAAGAGTGTGGGCAGGCCCACAGGAAAATCAAATAGTCATGCAGAAAAAAAGCAGTTAATTAACCTCCTTAGCTTAAACCTGAACTTGAAAGCTACTCCTTCACAAGATAAATAAATGTATAAAGGGGTATAAGGGTATTCAAAACCTTCACTTGTCTTCCTGCTTGAAAATAAAACATAAATACATTAGGAATGGAAAAGGAAACTCAAAACCCAGAATTTTCTCTCCAAAACCTAAACTAATGTACAAACTGCTTGTCTGATTAAGAACATTTAGGAAATAGTGCTGGAAATTAATACTTTGTGCCAAAACAGAATTGAAAACAATTAAAATTCATCTAATACTCCTAAAACCATGTCAGAATTAAGCCTTTTGCTTTGAGACAGGTAATAGTTGAAAATGGGCTCAAGGAGTCCCTCAAAACCATCCCAAAGTCACAAATAACACTGCAGACTTAGCAAATCCAAAGTGTGAAATAAAGCCCTTCATCTACCTGCCAGCACTTACCATCTCCTTCTTCCTTTCCATCTCCTCTTGTTCTTCCAGATACAGCTCTTGGCGGATTTGTTCCTGTTCTTGACGCTTCTGTTGTTCTCTTTCCATAGTCTCAGCAACCTGTTACAGGAAGGAAAGGTTTCTAAATGAAAGACAAAACCATACAACAATTTTTTTTTACAATTTCAATTTTTAATACCATGTTTTGAACTTTCTGTTTTTTCTCCTCAGTGTCTCGAACTTTAGCCATCCAATCATCTTCTCTTTGTCGCTGCATGTTGGCAAACTCCATAATTTTCCTATTTTCTTCTTCCATCTCTTCCTTTTTCTTTCTCCTCCACATAGCTTGTTCTTTTATATATTCTTCAATATATGTCTGAGTTTCTCTCACTTTATCTAATTTTCGTTGTTTTTCCCTGTAGAAGATGGAAAAAAAAATGTTCAAATAGTTTATTGTTACTGTAGAGTAACATTAAACTGACCTCAGCATTAATATATCCCAGAGACTAAGATTTAAATGACTCTCCTTAAAAATTCAGGTAGAAACTAGACACCTAAATTTAAAATACCTATTACTGAGCTGCTGCAAGAAGGGAATCTCATGTCTAACATCTTTCAGGAGTGCAGACTGTTCACACAGGTCCTCACTACTACTGCATTTTACACACACTCCATCAAAGAAGAGAAGAAAGTCCACACAACCCCTAAACTTTTTATTGACACTAAACTCTCTCTCACACCCCCCACCACCACCCTGCCCTCAGAAACCTCGTTCCCTGTCCCAGTCCATAAGGCAGGAAAACAGAGAGGTGGCAAAAGGTGGCAGGGTAGGGACACGAGACTGACTGGAGCATTCTGATGTTTCAACAGGAAAATTCACACAAGTCAGTCTCTTGTTAGCGAAATGTTGCCAAGGAAAACTAAAATGGGCCTTAGTCTCTATGGAATAGATGCATACAAATCAGCTTCCTATACAGAATGATAGAAGCTGTTTTGTTTTAAATTAAGAAATAATAAAAATTCATAGTAACTAACATTTCGTCTTCTTCATAGATCTTTCTTACAATCTCATCAATCATGAGTTTCTCTCTCAGAAACTCTTCATAGGCCTTCTGCTTCTTCCTCTCCTGTTCCTCAAGCTGTTTGTCCAGTTCCTGATGGTACATTATCTTCTCCTGGTTGCGCCTCATTTCTGCAGCAAGTTCTTCTTGCATTAACCTGTCGTGCTCTTCCTTCATCTCTTGGGCTATTTCATCCTCCCATTTCTGGGGGGGGGAAACCAAAGCAAGATTCCTTTTTACTCCCACTTCTACAACACGTAGTGAAGAAGCACACAGTATGGAAAGGAATTGTGCTGCATTACCAAAAAGGAAGGTTTCCCACCTCAATCTATAAATACAGAGCCTTAACATGCTTAACAGCTTAATGCAGTCAGTGGTACCCTTGAAGGGAAGCCTCAGGATCTAACTTGAGGAGCACTGGAAGTGCAGCCTTGAGCACCAGTGGGACTTGCTCACATCAGCAAAATGAGCAGACTGAGGTTGGACTGCAGAGAATATCCTCCCTACAGCATGTTCTTTACCTGCCTGCACTGAACTCTGCATAAGACATTTACATAACCGGAATCACCTCTCTGATCACCCATATTATTCTGTACGTCAATAAAAATTCACAATTCTTTCTGAAGTTATCCAGATACCTGTTTAACAATAGTAAATGTTTCCAACAGCTGGACTCTGAGGTAAGGATTCACCACAGTAAGCATTAAGCACTTACTGTACAAAGGGTACCTAGTTTTAACTTGGATAAATACTACAAATCTAGCAAAATAACAACTACAAGCAGTCATACAGCTTAATTCATTACTCCTTTCACTGAAATGGCAAAGTAAACCTTTTTCTTGTAGTTAGGTATTACTGGTTAATTAATCCTCCATAGCACAAAATGTATTTTCAATACCACTGAATGCCTAACCATTATTTTAGCTAAAAAGGTCAGCTTCGAACGAAAAATTTTCAGCACAATTCATACAAAGAGTTGCAGGACTTGGGTGCTGGGATTCACTATGGAGCTAATTACCAGTTTCTCATCGTAAAAAGCTTTTTTTTCAGCCATCTGTGCATCTCGTTCTTTATTCATATAGGCATATTTTAGCTTTCTTTCTAACTCTCGAAGTTCAAGACTGGAAAGGAAAAAAAAAAAATTTATCCTATCACAAGGAGGTAAGTACCTAGGGGGACAAAATTAAATTTCCATCACTATTAAACACAATTTAAAAAAACCCAACCATACATCAGGGGAACCCTGATGAAAAATATTGCTCTAGTTAAAGAGTAGAAAAAGAAAAAAAATTAATTTTAAAACAAAAGTTACCTATATTTCTACACATCTATCAGCAGTTCTGCACACTTCTCATCTAACTATATAAGTACAGGTATACAGACATACACGTGTGCTCACAGATATGCCTAAGAGCATGTAACATATATGACATATATATACATAGACATGTATGCAAAACGAACACTTTGTGGATCAGAGTTTTTTCTGGTGTTGAGAAAAAATTTGCTTAACATTAACTTTTATCATACCTTGACCTCAAAATAACTTTCCCTTCCAGGTCCTACTCATTTCCGATTCTGCTACAACTTCCCCAAACCATGGTACCAGTTCGATACAGCCGGGAGGCTTCAGAAGCGATACCTGTTGGCTCTGACTTGCTGCCGGAGCTTCTCGTCCTTCATCTTCTCGAGGTCCCTCCTGGCCATCTCCGCCGCCAGCTTCTGCTCTCGCTCCAGCTGCAGCGCCCTCTGCTTTCTGTTCTCCTCTGCCTAATCAGAACAAACCACCCCGTAACAACTCTCAGCACAGACATTCGGGAGGCAGGGACTGTGCACTTAAAGGCTACACCAGTCAGCAAACCCTTGCTAAAGGAGAAGGCCTTTGGCAGATGAACGCCCGTCCTTGGCCTCCCCGAGCGCGGCGGCGGCGCCGCCCCCGCTGCTCTTACCGCCCGCAGCGCCTCATCCAGCCGCCGCTCCCGCTCCAGCTCGGCCCGCAGCCGGGCGGCCCGTTTGTTCCACTCCCGCTCCTCGGACGCCTGCGGGCGACAAGAGAAAGGCTCGCCATCCCGCTCGCTCCCTATCCCCTTCCCGCTCCCCGCTCCCCTCCCGCTCTCACCATCCCGCCGCCGTTGCCGTGGTAACGCGCGGCGCTGCCGGGGAACGGGTTCAACTTCCGGGGTGAATCGCCCCCGCTGATTGGCCCAGAGGGCGACCCGACCTGCACGTGACTCCGGGTGGGCGGGGCCAGAGCCGCATGACGTCACCGCGAGACCTTTAGAAGTTGATATTTAAGAGCATTTCTTGAATCGTTAAATTAATGCACTTGACTCACCTATAATACCCACAAATGCCAGGTGGCGGCGTTTAGTTAAGAACTGCTCTAACTCAGTTTAAGGCCCTGTTACGGTGGGTCCCCAACAGGTGTGGGAGGTACAGGCACAGGCAGAACATCAACCATGGACATGAACCACGAACATCACCAGAACAGACACTGTACACGATTCTGTAATGGCGCTTGGCACACAGTATGCTTTATTCAAACCTGGATAACCCAACCAGGAAAACCCAGCCCTTAATTCTTCTAGAGGGAGACCTTGCCTGGAGAATGACTGTTCACTCCAGAGTTTCTCTGGACTGACTTCACCCCAGGAAGGAAACCAACATTGAGGCCTCCAATTCCCCAAGCTCTGCCCACCCACTTTCCTCACCTTTATTCTCCTTTCTACATAATTATGTGAAACTAAAGACATTTAAGCTTACTTAAAGCAGTATTTCAAATTCATTACTGTCACCTACTTCATAAAATTAATTAAAATTAATGAATCTTAAGAGAAGAACACCTCTGAGAATTAGGTAAAAAATCTGCTTGTTTGTATTGATGGAGGGTGATGTGCCTATATCTTATATATGTGGGATAAGAACACTCATTATTTTAAACCAGTTCTTGATCTTTTACAAATTTTCCCAAATTGGTGGAATTCTTTCTGATGTGTTGGTTACTCTTCACCCTTTTAATGAGAAAAGTGTTTTCCCACAAGGGGGAGTAAACTACAGGAGACCAAGCCTTTAATAAGATGATACAAGCAGAGAGAGAGGAGTTAGAAAAAGATCATAAACTTTCCCTACTTTTTCTTTCCAAGTGGTGTTACCACTACAGCTCTCTTCCTTAGGAAAAAAATAAATAAATAAATTCAACAGTTTCTTCAACAGTAGGCAAGGAAACACATAAAAGTCAAAAAAACCTATCCCCCAATGATTCCAAGGTGTTGACTGAGAAAGAAGGAAGCTTTTAACTACTCTGGCACAGCAGTGACTTTCAGTGCTCAAGGTCTGGAGGTGGCAAGGCTGGGTGGGATAAAGGTGCAAAAAATGCTTTTACTGCCCTTTCTCCCCAGTAAACAGCTGTGTGCTTCACTGGAAATAAATGGAATTTTCCTTCTTGCCAAACAAAAGAACAAAATGAAGTCCACTCACTTCACTTCTGGAAATAACAGCAAACAGCCTTCAGATGTAAAATGCCATCTTTGCTTGCATGATGTGCTCATTTTGGAACAGCAACACTCTAAAATGAGAGCACAAGCACACCTTGGTTCAGTCTCCAGGACAGCAAGGCACTCAGACAGAAAAGTGGGAGTAAAAATGCTTTAACAAAATACATACCAGAGACCAAGGAGTCAGTTCACAAACAATTAAGAGATGGCTTGTATTTGCATATAATTTGTGAGCAGTGTACCTGTCACAGAAGAGACAAAACACAGAACAATATCCAGAAAGATTCCCAGTGGAAAAATATGCTGAGGTTTTTTCTAGTCCTTGGAGCCTCATTGTTCTTTAATTTCCTGTATATTCTACATTTTCTGCACTGTGCTTAAAATACAAAACAGGAAAAAAAATGCAACCAGAGAATTCTTTTATCCTTAATACCTTATGGCAGTTTGTGGTCAGAAACTCTTACCTTTAATGCCCTGATGGTTTTCCCCAACACAAATTAAGCCCCAGGGACAGCTCAGGAAACAAACTGTGCCTGCAGATTTCCAAAGAAAGGGAAGTAACCTTTCAGCACATACAGTCAGCCCATGTAGAGAACGGGGAGGGGAAAATACCCCAAAAACTTCACAGAAACACCCAATATACCCTTACCCTGTTCTCCCATTAAATTGAATACTTTGAGAGGGAAAACAATAATTTCCCTCAATTCAGATGCAACTGCTGCTCTCATCTCTTCTTGAGAGCTCCCCCAGGAACTGCAGGCTTCTGTCCTAAACTTTGGGCACTGTGCTCCTCAGCAAAGAGCTCGGCTTAGTCCTCCTGGTGCCCTCCCTGCAGCAACCAGGGGCTGCTCCCATGCCCCGGGCTGCCCCTCCCTGTCCGTGCTCTCTGCACGTTTGCCAGGGGTGCAGGAACACGGGCAGTGCACCTGGGCAGGCCCTGCTGTGCTGGGCTGTCTCTGCACATCCCGTTCTCCTGCCCAAGGTCGTCCCAGCCAGGGGATCCTCGCCCACCTGAGGGGGAAGCACCTGTTTGTGCTGCTCCTCCCAGCCGGGCGGTCGCAGCGAGTGGCTGCTCCCTGGAGGGGCCTCCCCTCCTTCGCTCTTATTTGGGAAAAGATCAAGCACTGTGTTGAAAACAGACCTACCTTTTCGTCATGTCAAAAAGCAGAGCTCCTTGATGACACCAGCTAATTTCTCAAAGACCTCAGAATCTCACACCTGCAGAGCAGAGTTCAGTCCAGGCACAGTTGCTCCACTCATCTGAGGAAAGAGAGTAAAAATGCACTGTTTTAACAACCAGCTGGATCAGACTCCTTAGAAGTCAAGTATATTTACATTTAAATTTTCTTTATTAAGTTTTTAGAATATATTTTTATATATATTGAGATATATTAATACATGTATATAATGAAATATCTACTTTACCATAGTTTGGAAAGGAATGAGTCCCAAATGCCATCAAACTCTTGTTCCATACTGCATTTCTTCTTGCAGCAGCCTGGTTACAGCTCACAGGTCAGTGATCTGCTTCTCATTCCTTTTTCCTAAGGGCATTAAACACTTTCAAGGCCTGAAAAGCTTCAGGTGACCAGCAGCCCACTGTACAAATGTAGAGTTAAAGTCAGCAGTCCTTTCTCAAGTTTAACACAGCATCTTAGTAAATGAACCAGTTCTCAGTATCAGCACCCACTGAAGAGCTCCCAACAGCAGAAGCAAAGACTGCTGAGGAATGCTAATGATAAAACCCATGGAATGGAGCATTAAGGGGAAAAAGTAAGTTCCCTTTATTTAGCAGTTTAACTGAAGGTGATGCAGGAGCACACAGCAGAAAAGGTCATTAAAAGAAAGCGGTGAAGCCATTTTGCAGGTTTACCTCTTTTCTAGGGCGTTTTACCAGATGATCATAACAGGAGACAGTGACAAATGCGTTCCAGCTGAGATAAGATATGTAGGTCATGCTGACTTTGCAACATTATAAACCACTATTGGGGATAACACAGCTTCTCTGTGAGGTAATTTACCTTCTTTGGATGAAAAGATAAATGTGAATTAACAGGGAAGAGTCTGAAACATCTGAGCTGTGCTATTGATCTACTAAAGACCTAGATAAGTCACAGAGAAACTAATGCTTGCTTTGCTTGAGAGTAGTGATGGATGGGAGAGCAGATTTAGCAGCTAAGGGGCTATCACTGTCAACAAAGTCTTAGCACTAATTTTTTTTTTTTAATTATCCTGGAGTAGTAGGGAAATATGTCCCATAGCAGCAGTAGGCAGAAGTGATCTTTTACTCATGACATTATGGACTGTAAACAAAAATATTAAATGAAACAAAAATACTCAGTGCTTCAAATGTGTTCAACAAAAACACATCTGTTCCTGATGAGCCAAATGTGGGTTTAATAATTATTTAGCTGTAGGACTGAGTTTTCTTTTCCTGTGTGTTTGGCACCACATTTGGTGATTTGAAAACAATTAGAGAGCCATGTCCACTGTGCTCTTTTTAATTCAACTAGCAAACACCGGGGAGAATACAATTGCTTTCTGCACCAGGCTTTCTGCTTCACCTCTAATAATTTGTTTTAAGCATATGATCTAGGTACAGCAAATATATTTCTTCTACGTAAAGAATGGTGTAAAACTAATGCTGTGATGACACTTCTGTTTTTGCAGCAAGATCTTTACCCCTCTATCTATCCTAACCAAACTCTTGTTCCCCGTGAAGCCGAAGAGAGATCATAAGTTCAAGCAAAAGGACTGAGTTCTTACTTAGGAAAGTGAATGGTCATGATTTTAGCAGAGAATCTAAATGTTTATGGGTATAAAAGTTCTGTTTGTAAAAGGTTTTAAAAGAAGTTGTATCTATTTTCTCAGGTGTGATACAATTATACGTCAAAAGTGCCCCTCAAAATAACAAGCTTCATTTGTAGCTTTTAAATTGGAAGCAAAGATTTCATTCCTACAAGATACCACCAAACACAATTAATCCCAAAGAGTTCAGTTTAACTTTAGTGAATAATTAAAAAGCTGAGGAGCTCCAAAGGGGAGCTCAGCAAAGTGCAGAAAACTGGGAAGAAAGATGCCATTGGCAAACAACAGAGTATTAAACAAACTAATCTGTAACCATAACCTTAAGCCAACCAAGGGAAAGGGCAACTGAAGGGCAATAACAGAAAACAAACATCAGTCCCAGAAAGGGCTGAGAGCAATGTGAAAGTCGTCCTGCTGCCTGCATCCATCTCTCACCCTGGCACTTCCCCCTGCCCGGCAGCCTCAGCAGAGCCCCGTCATGAGCCCCAGGCTGGTGGAGGCTCTGCTTCCCTGCCCCACATGGGGATGTGTCTGGAGGAGTCCTGGGGCATGTTTAGTAAAATCCCTGTTGTTTTATTCAAGAGCTTTTAGAGAGGAGAAGAGCACACAGCAGTTACCGATACATTTTGTGCTCCAACGAAAATTCATCAGTGAAATGGTGAATTGCCTCTGTATTGCTGTGGACCAGACAAAGCCCACGGATTCCTGTGTGAAGCATTCCCAGTCCCTCACCTTTCATCATGGTTCACTTTCTGGGGCCCTGCATGCCAGGTGTGTCCCAAGGGCACACCGATGTGTGGCACTGCATAGCTGGGGGATCACAGCACAGCTGTGGCTGCAGACAGGCAG